GCTTTGTTTTGACCGGGCTTTTCCTTATTTGGATGGAAATTGGTCTTTGCGATCTGCTGAAGTGCGGATCTCGGTTCCAACAGCCAGTTCCCTGTGCATCGCCACCCTCACATGTCATTATACATGATGCGGATTTCTATATTCCCATCATGGGTATAACTTCACAACGGCTGGACCGTTTGGGCTGAAAATTTGCATAACTATAGTTCCCCATTTTTCATAATTTCCGTGTAAATTTCGTTGTATGTTTTAATTATGGATCCTACGCAAACATCATCTTTTCCCTGAGCTCAGACTTTTGATGTCACTATTCCCATTATTGGATATCTCATTAGCGCATGATCCTTTTATTATAAAAATTTGGGAGAATTAAGATTAGATCCCTTCCTTTCTAATGGGCTATCAAGCTTGTCTCGGTCGTTACTGGTTAATCTTCGCACTTGCCTTTTAGACATTGTCCTTGTTTTGCAGGGGTTTTAGTCATATCTCCGTCATTTATGAATAGTTTCCCCTGTAATTACTCTCATTGGGTCCGTTTGGGGGACATCTACATTTCCTATTATAAACATGACTTTGAATTTTGCATTAGTTCCTGAGGAATCCTTGTTCCGTGGTACTTCCATCCTTGGCTACATGCGCGGACGTGGGAAAGTAGTTTCCATGGAGGTTCTCTGATTGTTTTTATAGTCAAATCTTAATCGATTGTCCTAATTCTTGGTTTAATATTTGCTATAAATTCCCCCAAGAATTCTGTCTCATTGATGGTAAGCTTGAAGTATTTTTGCTATTTTTCTTTCTTTCGATTTATCACGTATAGTCATAATAATTCGTTAAAATTCGTTAAAATTCATTAAAATTTGTGTCCTTCTGTTTTCTCATATCTACTTGTCGTATGAGGTTTTGTGATTTATCTGGCATATTTCCATAATGGGTTTCCATAGTGTGACCGTTATTTCTCCTACACCGTTGCGGGGTGAGCGTCCCCGACCACTTAGTCTGAAGTGGGAAGTTGAGAAGAAGGCTGCTTCTTCTGTTCCCACCCCAGGTGCTATTATATACATGCGGTTAGGGGTCACGTGGGAGGAGCCATGTCATCCCCGCACACAGCCACACTCCCCTGGGTATCTCCATGGGAGATCCTGGAGGTGTGCCACTCTGTGAGTGGGAATGCATGCGGTGGGTGTGGCGATCGGGGGAGCAGGGTTAGGTGTGTAGTAATACATAGAGAAGGGGAAGTCGACCATGGAACGGAAATAGAAAGAAAGAAGGAAAGGGGAAAGAAGAAACAGGGAGTGATAGCGGGGGAGCGGAGTAGGGCAGCGCAGCATGGGGTCAGGTGGGGTGTGCCCTGACACTAGCCGACATGATACCCCTTCACCATGTGCTGCGTGTCTCACTGTTGACTGTGTTCCACATGTAGTGCTTGCGCGTATCTCATCCTTTTATTGTTCTTGTCTGATATCTGTGTAATTACCCTAACTACTTATACCGCTGTGCAGTTCCAATATCAAGTTGGTTGTTCCCCCATTATCTGAGTGTCCCCACTGAGAGCTACATAACAACAACAAGTCCGGTCCTTATATACATCTTGTAATGACTCTACACCACTGAGGTGAAACATGAGTGGTAAACAACAAGTTGAAAACAAAAGCGTGAAGACAAAGAGTCAAAAGAGGTTGCCACCGTTCATGCCTCAAAGTGCCCCTCCCCTTCCCAAAGCGTGAATGTCTGGCCCAGGTGACTCCCTTGACCACCAGTGGCATTGGGCTGCAACTTCTAACACGCGGTATGTACTTTAGTTACGGTTTCTCTCCTCATTTCTATATTATATCTGGGTTGTGAGTGAACCGCTGAAGCGGGTTGCCATATATGGAACTCCGCATTTACAACATTTTGTGTGCACTGTTAACTCATTGAACAACTGCTATCACTCCTTCATTTTATGTCCAATTTGGTCAAATTTTTGCGTAGTCATAGCCATAGTTATAATATACAAGTGTGCAAAAAATAAAAAAAATCCCGGGGTGAAATAAGGATGTTACATGCAAATGAACCATTGAGGGGTGTGAACCATTCACTGTGGGAAGTAAAGCAATGTAAAAAACCATTTTTTGGTCCATTTTTTACCATTCACCGACATTTTCATGGTACTTTGAAGATGGTAAATTACAGCATATACACGGTGCAGGTTGAAGGCTGGTTTTAAACTTCGTAAAATACCACTCTGTTGATGGTATTTGAACTACAATGGATTTTACATGAGTTTGGACGTATGTACAATGTGTTAGTCATCATCATCCATGCTGAAAACTGGCCTTGCAGGCTCGCTACCGCAGTCTATAGTAGCCCAATTAGGGCCTGAGTTCATTCCACAATGAAGCCAGCCACAAAGTGACGATACAGATGCAAGCACAAGAATTTGTGTAGTGTAGGAGAGTGCAGTAAATGAGGTAGGTGGTAATGCCACATCCAAGTGCCACTGCCTGAAATGAGGGTGAGGAGGTGTCATTCGTTCCGAAGTAGGGACAACATGTTCTAGAATTTCATGCAGTTCCCCATAACAGATCATCCTCAATAGATGGAGATTCGAGTCCACAGTGTGTCAGGGCACACACCTGCCTGACCCTGCGCCGCACCCTGCGCCGTACCGCACTACCCCATCATCACTCCCCATCTCCCCTCCCCCATTTTCCCCCTTCTCTCTATCTCTATTTCTGTTTCTATTCTACGGTTGATTTCCCTTTCTCCATGTACTACTACATACCTGACCCTGCCCCCTGATCGCTGCACACACCACACACACTCCTGCCCACTGAGCGGCCACCTCCAGGATCTCCTGCAGAGACACCCAGGGAGGTGCAGCTGTGTGCGGAGATGACATGGCTTCCTCCACGTGACCCTGGCCGCATGTATATAATAGTGCCTGGGGTGGGAACAGAAGAAGCAGCCTTCTTCTCAACTTCCCACTTCAGGTAAGTACCGTAGCTTTTCCCTTTTAATGATAATCATCAACTTCCCACTTCAGACTAAGTGGTCAGGGACGCTCACGACGGGATCACCGCTATGCACAGCCGCTACTTGTCCCACCGAGTCCCGCGCGCAGGGACCTCGCCGCTTTTGGAGCTGTCCCTGACACAGTGCCAGTGAGGGGAAGACTAGGAATGAAATCCGGAACAGCCAGAACCAATAGATGCATTCCAATGTGCTAGCACAGAGGACATGGCAAAGTCTGGGTGCTTATGCTATGTCGTTTTCAGCAATTTCCATGGGACTTCACAACTTCACCTTTCTTCACATTGCAGGTTTGACCCCTTGCTCATTGTCTCTCAAACCACTCTATCCTCTCTCTCACTGCCTAGATATCTTGTTCCACCAATTTTTCTAAGGTGAGTACTTATGGTTTGGTTGGAATGCATGCCCTGGCATGTAACGGTGGCGATCATCATGAAGGTTTCGTATATGGACATGTTTTCACGCATCTTTACGTGTTATTTACTGACCAAGCCCCAGGAAATAACATTTATTCTCTTATTTCATACAGAGAACCAACATGTCACCAATGACAAGCAAGGTAAGATTGGTCTTCCTGATCGGTGCCTCTGCACTGCCCACTTCCTAGCTCAAAAGACAAAGATTACTGACCCATGCAGGACAAAAGACATGAAGTATAACCCTCAGGAAGTGTTGGATTATACTTGTCCTCACAGTAAGAGGTTGAATTGACTTCATCTTATTGCTCTCTAATTCTCTCAGTTTTCCCCATCCCAGCTTCCATTGTGACATCGCCCAAACCTCACATGCCTCTTCTAATTCAAATGGGGTTTGCCCAGAAGTGCGCTTACCGCTTCTCCCTTCCGTCATTCCTTTGCTACCCCACTTCTATTCCAAGGACCGATCAAAAAGCTCCGGAGTGAGTAGAGTTTGAAAGCAAGGATGATGATTGAACTCCAGAAACTTCGATGCCAATCATCTTTCATTTGGAGGTTCGCTTATTTCACTTGAAGAATTATGGTTATCCTCACTGTAAACTACCATGATAATAGTTGTGAATGATCATATTTTTTACCAACCGCAATCATCGTAAATTACCAAGCCCGTGGCGTAAAATACAAAGTACAATGGTTGTAAAGTGACCATTTACCACCGTTAAACTAATCAAAAATGACCAAAAAACAGGTAATTTACTCTCATAATCATTGTAATGGAACCTTGGTAAAATATTACATACTTGATCATATAAAACTACTCCGCTCGTCGTAAACATGAGTGTATTTTATCATCTTTAAAATGGTCCTTTACACAATTCTAATTCCCACTGTGCATTGGCACGTGAATGACTGTATTGTCTTTTGTTATCGATATGTAAGTCGGAATACTAGCCCCGGTACTACACACGACTGAGCATTTCCAAAAAGCTGATAGGGACTCCGGGCATTTTCGATTAGGTGATGGTGCAACCCAGTACGATCTGATGGGGGGACTTCCCACAGTGTGTACTCATCTCTCCCACCACATTATTTTCTTCCCTCCCTGTACCTATATGATTCCCGGTCTCGGAGACATCCATATGAAGGAAAGCTGTGCAGGGCCAGCGTGCCACACACACTCTAGTAATGACTGACCTGGGAGAATCGAGCCACCCCACCCGATATGGACGTAGGAGTGGTGATGAAGAACAGACAATAAATTCAAACAATAGATTGTACATTGCGCAACAGTGCAACAGTGCCGGCTTTTGGTGAAAATCATTACTGGTCCATGTTCACGAGTCTCGCACCTACCATCCAACTGAAGGCAGCCTCTAAAGAGAGGCTGGTCACCTGCCTAAGGCAGCCTGAAGTTTCACACAATTACGATACAGCAGCAGTGACCTGCTGTGCAGGATGGACACGCTGCCTTTGCTTGTTTGTTTCTCGTCTTGGTTTGTGTTAACGCTTAAGTGAGTGTTTTAGCGGAGTTGGAAAAATTCTTCAATGAAATTCGCACGCTGCTGGTCTTTCTCAAGGGTGGGATGTGCTCGGAGCCCGCTCCATATGCAGAGCCGACCCTGTCGCTCCTCTGCGAACTCGGGATGAACGCAACACTGAACTATCCATTTCCCTCTGATTACGCGTCCTGGTTGAAGATGGCCGATTGGCCCCAGTCGTTGCCAGCGGCCTATTCCTGGGTGTTGGGGGGATTTCCGATTCTGCTTCGGAGCCATGATCAGCTGGAGCCGGTCGCTTAGGTACGATGCGTTTTGATGTATCCGTGTCCGATGTCTCATAGCCAAAGCCACTTCTGGTTTCTGAATTTCTGGGGCGCGTGGGCGGGTATCGCAGTGATGATAAGGATGGATTGGTGGGTGACCGGACCCTTGTCAATGCACTTTTGGGTGGGGGCGGAGATGTAACACGAGACGGTATGCCGACATTTTTCGGGGCTAAATTCGACCCCGATCCTAGAGCCGCATTGCCAGTCCTCAGTTTAGCCGTCTGATCACGCAGAACTGAGCGAGATTCTTTTGATTCGCCGGACCGTCTGCTTGCGGACCCTGAGGGTGATGGAAACTTTGCTGAAGCAGACGGTGCACCACGAAGCCATTGACGGTCAGGAGCCTTTGGATGTATAGCACTGCTGGATTTGGGTATATTCGCATCCAGCTCGGCATGATTGGGTGGCGCCCCTAAAGCCCGGGATCGGTCGTCCTGAGGATATGAATCATTCGAAGACGGCTCGGCAGTACCAGGCGGTGCCGATGGATTGGCCGTCTGATCACGCGGAACTGACTCGGTTGATTCACTAGACTGCCTGTTTGGGGACTCAGAAGGTCCTGTAATCTCGGCTGAAAATGACGGTGCATTACGAAGCCATTGACGTTCAGGAGGCTGAGCTTTGCTGGATCGATTTGCCTCCAGCTCGGTAATACTGGATGATGCCCTCGTAGTCCCGGGTCGGCTGTCCTGAGGAAATGGATTACTCGTTGATGGCTCTGCACTGACGCGAGGTAGCGGTGTCGACGGATTAGGAGGTGATGAAATGGGAGAAGTGGATTTAGAAGAAGGATAGAGAACGACATCGGAATCTGGTGTTCGGGGATGGCGAGAGCCATGGGACAATCCCGCGCCATTATTGACCTCCACAATCGGGACCCACAGGGGGCTTGTTGGCGCTGCTGTTGGCGCCGCCGATATGTTGGTGAACCGAGTGTCTTCATGCGCTCGAGACTTTTTGATGCCAGGTAGAGGTTTAACAGTTCTAGTGGATTCTGCAAGAGACCGCGTCGGGGAGGGTGGAGAAGGTGGCTGAATACTAATTTCCACATTGCGAGTCGAACCAATTGTCCCCATCTCACCGCCCAATGCAATCCCTATTGACGAAATTTAGGAACAGGAGAATACGTGGCAGGACAGCTACTCACGCAACTGAAAAGTCAGGTTCGTTTCTGAAGCATTCGCCCCACTCAGAACCACTGCCCTCTGACTAAGATCTGCGCTCTCTCCACGCTCGTGGTGTGGTGGCGTGGGCGCTTCACAATCGGAAGCGGAAGGTGTGGTTGTGACAGAGGCGGAACGACCCTTGGCACGGAAACGCCCCCCCAATGCATCCCACGCACGCTTGAGGGGGCGTTTGGGGCCCTTGTCATTCCGTGGAAACTGAGTGGAAGCGGAGCTATCTGGTCGCGGAGGATACGAGAACGAGAACGAAGTTGATGGCTCTGTGGAATTCACTCCGGATGGTTGGTCCAATTCCTCCAATACACGGGCGAAACTTTGCTCTGCACCCAAGTTCCAATGTCAGAATCGTTGAGATGCGAAGCACTGAAAAACACACTCATCCACGAGCACAGACCACGCTTCAAATCATACCTACCCTCTCCAATGTGAATGCGCTGTGAGATTGCTGTATTGACGGCATCGATACTTCTGAATAGGAAGTGAGCAACGCCGTTCCTTTTTGTATCGAAATACTCCAAAGCGTAGTGCAATGAGACGCTGAGTGTGAGCGCACGTAGTGAGATTAAGCCTGTCAAGCCAACTGATGAAGCTCCTCACAGCTGAGTAAGCGATTTCTTAGCAGACTGTGCGAGGGTACCGTATGTAACCTCCTCGGGTAGCCCCTCGATATGAAGAACTAGACTGGATAACTCTGTGCTGGCTGCGCCCGAGACGAAGGCTCCGGAGCTGAGGTGCGACATGCTCTGCTATTAGCGACAGTATTAATCCGGGGCGAGGTGATGGGATGAGAGGAACTGTGTTAGCGGGGTTGCTTGGGCCCGGAAGGTATGAGTCCGGATAATCCCCGACCCATAGTGAATGGCGCGCGGATTATGTACAGTACTGGTAATCGCCTGACTTTGCACAAAATGGAGATGGAGAGATTACTAGACAGGATGATGCCACCTTGAGCAGCAGGAACAGCACGGACGTCTTCGATGCTTCGCAATAATCGACGAAAGCATCACTCAAAGCAAGAGGCTAAACCATAATGGGCCTGCATGAACTCGTTCCTTAATCTTATCAAAAGGTGTCCTGGGAATACACGTGTTCTTGAAAGATAGATCCAGAAAACTAAAGATATCATATTCCCCGCCGGACCACGTGATACACAAACCAAAAAATGCCAAGCGAGACACAAACTCCGCCGGGCATCATGAAGTCATGTATTACGCAGCTCGTGTTCTTTGGATTTCCGATTACATGCGCCTTGCTTCCAGTTCAGAAAAAAAAGAGAGAACACCTATGAACCCCAATTGGCAGTCCACGCCCAATTCGGAAAACAGCTTTCATCTCCTGGCGGTCAAACCCCGCGGAGTCAAAGGTTGCGTGGGTGACTTCGGGCTGATTAGTAGCGTTTGGAAACGGGACCGAGGATTCTGGCTCTGGGAGGATATACGGTCGCGTGGTCCAAGCGGTCGAGGATTCAATGGTTGAGAACCCGCGGTGGGTTTCAGGGAGAGAGTAGGTGCTCGTTTCGAAGGCATCGTTGAGATTGTTGCCGCCGCTCGTTGCCTCCCATTGGGCGCCTCAGTGGCTGTGGACACCAATCGGTTTCTTGCAGTTGTGTTTTGGAGTGCCGTTTCCGCAGGTGGAGGATATGTCATCCGTTGCACCAATTTGCGAGAAGAAGCCCGCGAATCAGCTTCTGAGCCGGCATTGCTCATAGGGGAAGCAGTGAGAGGTCTGGAGGTAGTCACTCTTGGTGATGGAGTCAAAGGAATCTGGGGTACAGGGCGATGAGTAGAGGTAGTCGCGTTATCTCTCCCATGTGACGAGCGCGCGCCATCTGCTTCTTCTTCTATAGTGGCCTCAATAGACGGAAATTTTGCTTGACGCCGCGGCTCGCTGGGAGGACTTGCTGATTGCTTGCTCGAGCCGACTCCGCTCTCCACCTTATTAGCATTTCGGAGAAACTTCTTCTGGTTGACAGTTAGGGGAGGAGAGGTGGATGATACTCTCTTGCGGCGCGGAGATTCAGTCGGGGTTCCCCTGGGATTAATGGGTGGCTTTGCAGTTGACGACCTATTGGCCGGGCTGCGAGCTTGGAAGGTCGCCGTTGGAGATGGAGTAGCGGGTATTATGGCAAGCTTGGGGGGCTGTGACACGACCCTTTGGCGTAAACTTTCTCGCCTCGGAACGTTGGAAGTAGGTGACTTCGACCGGGGGGAAGATCTGTCGCATTGGGTGGCGATGGCGCAGGAAGTGATTTAGGAGATTCATTCCTTGGCTCAGGGGCCGGGAGGGTGAGAATCTTTTTGGCAGATTGCTGTGGATTGATACCTTCGAACATTGCGATGTCTGCGAAGGCACCGCATCATGGACAATGAAGATTCAATCAGGTCATCGAGACTCACCAATTTCAGGTCTCAGCCCCTCCTGGGGAACTTTCACCATCGTACCAGTGTCACTTATCTTGTACGCTTCAGGGGCGGCCGTAGGGAGCCTCTCGACTAGTTTCGATTGACAGGATGGTGACGGTGGTGATGACACGGCTGATGAAATCGTAGATCCAGGCAACAGATTTTCGTGCACTCTGGACTCTTGCCGACCCTTAACTTCTGAACACTTCCGCATTGCTGATTGGGGCTTCTGCGTAATCGTTGCATCAAGATCGGTCGTGCCTTCTCCCTCAACGGACATGCGCGAAGATGACCTGGAAGATGGGGTTGCGGCACGCGACATGTCAACAGTGGACTGAGAAGAGGTGCGCTTTCTGAGAGGCAGAGCCTCCCAGATCCGTCGCCCGAATCCACTTCTTGCGCTTGTGGCTGATGCATCGCTTCCTCGGCGACTCCGATCTTTTATACCGACTGGCATGAGATCAGAGATGGGGAAGACAGAACTACTGGTTTTTCACCTTGAGGTAAGCTCTGCACTGCATGAAGTCCCTTGAAAAATTCGACTAATTTAATATCAACAACAATGGGTCAAGTCGAGAAAGAGCAAAAACGTACACATCCCGCAGTATGGTCCCCGATGTATGTCGTATCGCTGGTCTTTCAACAGAATCCTTGTTGACAATGCAGCACGAGCTGAGGATTCGTCCTTGAAAAGTAGGTGTACGACACGATCGGAAAATTCCTGATTGGTTTCGGTCGAGTGGTGCATCGAGAGACTGAAATAAGAGTGAGAGGAGATGCGTGAATGACTGATGTGGTCAAACCTACACATGGGGAAAAGTCCCCGTCACAGATGCATGAAGTTCAGAGTAGGATATATCATCCGCCAACTCGCGGATATGCGCCATCAAGGGGTCGAGATAAACAAAATGCGCAAACGGTGGATCCATGACTGCCTTCTCTGGGAACGAGTTGGATGCTTGTAGGACGAGAAATCTCCCAGTGATAACACAAGACGTCCACTTAAATACGTATTCTAGAGAAGGCGTGCCTAGAGCGTGGCCTCAATTGCGCGCGCACAATTCATTTGCACCTGGGAATAAGCTTCGGTGGAACCACCCTTCCAGCCTCGGTGACATTTTCACAAGGCTAAGTTCATTAATGATGCATTTTTTGTTAGTACAGTCTAACCGCAAACCCAGAATGTGGGCGAGAGGTTCTGCAAGAGGGAGGGAGAAAGAGAGAGAGCAACAAAGATGTGTGGACACCTGGAAGCAGGTGGGTATCGATCATTAGCGCGCGTAAAACAGTCGATTCCAGAAGCAAGCTAATACACCGGCCAAGCGTCAACAACCGCCGAGCCAGCTTGGGGGCGACTTCACCCAACAAATCGGAGGCCATGGGAAGACGTAAATGCCTATTTTACTAATGTACTGTAGCGATCGTCGTTGTTCCCTCGAGGCTTCGAATCCTACTCGAGAAAAGCTGCCAGGAGGATCAACCATGTGTCTTGAGATTGCACCTTTTTAGGAAGAATGGGGATTGCCAAACAGCGAAGCAGCCCTAAAAACGGGATTGCTGCCACGAACTGAAATATTCCAGCCTCCCAGCTGTTTAACAGATAGGGCATACCGTATACGACGAAATGATGCACTAGCGAGTTTATCGCTCAGTCCCGTTGTAGGTGAACCAGAAATATAATCACCTAGCGAGTTTACCGCTGGTGGACAAATGTTTAATGCATGGTGTATGAAGGACAAACAAGATATAACCAACTCACCTCAGTCCCGTTGTACGTGAACTGAGGAAAGGTTGGGTTGTCCAAAAATTGGTCCTTTATAGTCAGGCGCTATGAATGCGCACTGACTTTGGCACGGATGTCACCAAGAAAGGTAATTGGCGAAAATCTAAGGCTTCGTTCGGTATGGAGAAACAGGTTTCTTTGGTCTGTTTCTTCCTGTTTCTTAATACAAAAATTGCGTGTTTCTTTAGGTAGAAGAAATGAGAAAGAATATTGAATTGAAAAACTGGAAGAAACAGGCCTGTCTCTTCATACCGAACGAAGCCTAAGACATCACACGACTCAACATCCCCAAACGTGAGTTGGTCATAGCGTACGCCATGATACCAAGAATTCTAACATACCGCGCCTCCCATGGTAGCGCACCATCGTACCCGCACTCACTAGGCAGCAGTTGGGAGTGCCTATATTAAAGGGCTAAGGCGAAGAATGGTTAAAATTGGGAAAGGCTAGGGAAATATTAGCCAAGCGAAGATCCAGGTCGCCAGGGTCGCGTGACAGCACCAACGCGGCCACAATACACGATGGAAGATACTTAGCCCGCCCTTCGGCAGAACTCATAAAACTGATGGACCCTGAAAGATCGGAAGGGCGCCAGTCGCGAAGATCAAGAGACGAGGGCAATTCAGGTTCTGTTCGGTCGCTTCCGAGCCAATTCTATGCGAGGGAAGTCTGGCTCCACTATCAACACCTACGGTTGGCAACGCTCTCAACGAGAGATTCGTCGGCACGCGATGCAGCATGAGACTGACTCAAGCATATCACGCAATATGACCATGATTGGGTTTGGGCAGATTGTCTTTCGCTCAACCATATATTCGCTGCCTTCTGGAATATTGAACAGTCCGACCCTTTCGTGTCCAAGCAACCACGATAGCAAGTGGACAGTCCTGGGGATCGCTCAGAAGCGGTTCTTTCCCGGAAGAATGGTCAAAAGTCTTCAATTGAGGACCGGCTCCGTCATTCAGTCCGAGAGGAACCCTTGTAGAAAAAAGTAGCTTGGTTAAGGGTTGAGCGTCACTTTTTACATATTGCCTATGTCTAGCCCAGGCAACCTCATCGTTATTCACAAACTCCTACCCAGTCGTCTTTCCGTTTATCCGCAACTTCGTAGGTCTTTACTGCTAGCTCTGATCGTAACTCGCCAGATCCAATCGGCATACTGCGCTATCTGATGCCCGCTCATTCCCTCTCAATTCTGGCCAAAACACAATTCGCCTAGGTCATAATGATGCTTGGTTCATACCACGTACCACACAAGAGCCTCCAGCTCGCCCTTTCTGGTCCATCCAACCCTTAATTATAGAGGCCATGGCGATGTACTCTATCACCCTGTTGGCTGATCTTTAGGCAGGACTCCAGCCTCTATGACTTCGTAACAATAGATGCTGTTCTTGGCAGCCACCCGGTCTCCGCTCAGTCGCTCACTGTTCCCTCGTCGTGGTCCAAGGAAAATCTAGGGATGCCGCCAGCTATACTGCTGCCTACTTGCTTTACGATACACAAAAATCTGAGAACGGTCAATATGGAACCAATCAGGTCGAGTGTTGATGCGCGAATACTTGCCGCGACAGTGATCGAGGGCTCAGTCTCGTGGTTTCTCCATAGCACGAAACTTTAAGCTCGCAAAACAGCGTGTGCCAGAATTGTTATGGCAAGTCTCCCATGGTTTCTGTCCCCATAATGCATTCAGAACCAGAATCACTTTCGCATTCTCTAATAGTGGGCGGCATGATGATGGTGACTTTCCAGTCGCCGTCCGTTCTGAACTCAGTACACTCGGTATTGTGGACAACTCCCGGCTCATGGGAATCTCGTGGTCGTTCAAAGCCTTGAAAGTTGCCGACCTACTAGAGGTCTCATTATCATCATCATGCCATTCGCATGCAGCCGTAGTGAGCTCTTGAAGAGGCCCTTGCGCCCATGCTGTCCGGCGACACCGCACATCATCCTTGAATTGTCCGAGCTCCGGTTGGAGTAACTCAATAGTGTAATGGTCGAATGGCCGGTTAATGCAGACCAAGCCTTGTGCGGCGGTTCGGAACCTGCTGGGTTTAGAAAGAGCAGGCGGGGCCACCCTCAAGATTTTCGTTGAGACGTTTTGGCTCCTCATCCGCGGAAGCGGACCTCAGCCGTTTGGGTAAGGCTACAGCAAATTTGGAATGATTAGTCTAGTGCCATACCAACAAAGTCGTCTCCAAAAACGTCGTTTACTTTTTCAAGAGGATCCTTTCCGGATATGCTATCCATCGCTCTATTAATAAGCTCTCCATCGCCTAATTTTCCGGCTTATTTGGATAAGTACAGTGGATCACCAGACGACAGAAGGGCTTACTTACCACTAACTTATGTACAAGACAAGCTCGGTGGGATCACGCAGCACTGGGTGCTTTTATAAAGCGGACTTGCATGACAAACTCAATGCCTCAAGGGATTCGACATGTGTGGTGGCTGGGTCACAGTCAGGCTTTGCGTGACATTCGCAGGTTTATATGATACGTTTGCAAAACTACACATTCAGAACTGGGCTACTTTTTTCCCTATATATTCTTGGTGTTGATGCGATCCTGCTGGGTGTGTTGGGTACAGTGATCTAGGATTTTCTTGATACTTTTTTTTTGGCGATTTCTCGCAACGTTTGCTATCGTTGCATGGCACTTTGACTGAATGTTATTACACACATGAACCTGTGCTGTTGGTACTGTACTCGTCGGTAAATTTTTCCGGCACTTGTGTAGCCTGACCTACCATCGCTTGTGTGCACGCCGGAGGAGACGCAATGGAATAGCGTGGCGACAGTCCCGGCAAATGCCAGAACCTCTGGAATTGAAGACGAGCCGGGTAATTTACAAGGATGGAGATTGGGGAAGGAGGAGGGCAACGCGAAAAAACAAGGACGAGGAAGAACAAGGAGGAGAAGAACAGAGGTTACAAAAACAAGGGAACAACCGAAAATAAAGAAACCTAGAAAAAACTAGGGTAAGCACTCGGGATCCAACCCACCGAGAGTAACCGGAGGTCACAACACCCCCCCTGCTCAGTGAGACCGAAACGCTTACCGGAAGTAAGGGACTCCGAGAGAAAACTACGACCAAAATCGCTTTTCAGGCTAAAAGAAATGAGACTAAAAAAGAAACAAAGAAAACGCCTTCAGCAGAGGATGAGGAATAAGAGGGCCAGAGCCCAGAAGCGTGAGCGGACGAATAAACACGTGCGGAATTCGTCCGAAGAAATCGACCCAGGTATGCAGCGGCAATAAAACCTGAATCGGCATGACTGTAGCCTCGGAAGACACAGTATGCGTAAGGCCGACAGCGGGTACGGCGCATAAGATGAAGGCATCACCGGGTAATGTGCCATGCGCGAAAAAAGAGCGCTCAGTCCAACTGCACATTTAATCTCGTACCTCCATTAAATAACAAGTATGAGTAACTTGCCCAAAACTGATGCCCGCGCATTCCCTCTTCTGGCCGAAACACAATTCATTTAATTAGGTCATATAACAATGCGCACTGCACACAACTAGAGCCTCCAGCTCGCTCTTTCTGGTCTCTCCGCCCAACCTTGAATAGACCATGACTATATACTCTCGACTCACTCTGTTGGCTATTCTTGGCTGCCACCTGGTCTCCGCTCAGACGTTCACTGCGCCTGTTCCCTCGTGAGTAAAATACGTCCATGGCCCCACTGAGGAAAACCCGGGGATGACGCCACCGTTCAACTCAGCTATACTGCCACCTACCTGCCTTACGATACACCTCAGAAATCCGAGAACGGCCAATATGGAACCAATCAGGTTGAGCATCGAATATACTTGGCCGTGACAGTGACTGACGGCTCAGTCTCTTGTGCATAGTGCGGAACTGTAAGTTCGCAAAACAGCATGTGCCAGAATTGTTATGGCGAGTCTCCCATGTGGTTTCCCATCCCCCAATAAATGCGCCACTACTTATAGTATGAGGATCTAGTCAGTGCTGTGGATGATTTCTGTATCTGGGTGAGTGTCCGAGTCGGAATCCAAAATTTGTCCGTGCAGAGCGCTTCACTGAGGATGCCCCCCATACGTTATCCGTCATCAGGCGCCTCCAAATAATACCTCGCCATATGGTAATTCGAGTATCGGAAATACAGAACGTCTCGAAGTCGCTTGGTGTCTCCGAGTACGTCAATTCGTGATAATTTCGGGTTCTTCTTTCGTTGATCAAGCCTGCACGCCGGTTGGCCTGGTCCCATCCTCTTATAGAGTGGTTATGGTACTCGACTTCTCCCATCGGGGGCAATTACTGGCGCCCACTTCATTGAAACCCCAAATTACATCCAGATCTCCGGTACAGGTGACCTGACAAAAGTTAACGTCCCAGCAAACGACACGGGTGGAGAGCTGGATCCCCATGTTAGTCAATGGTCAATGATCATAGTAGCTCCGATCCTGACGTGCGTTAATGTTTATCCCCCCCCATCAAGGGTGCAGACGGCCTTGGCAATCCTATCGGTACGCGTCTTGTGTGTGTTCAACGACAATAACGGCTGAACGTGCTACACCCTTTATGTAAGGTGGTCTTGTCTTTGGATACGGAAATGACCGCCTTCTTCGCCAGTATCACGAATGGACGAATTTCATTGACGGCCCACAATTTTTTTGCTTCCGCGTCTGCATCGACCAGCCCGGAAGTACTCAATACTGTGAACATGTAAGTCAGCTTTTGCTAACCCCCAACGTGCCCCCCTTGCCTTCAAACTAGACCGATATGCTTGCTGACTTCCTTCCTCAGATTTACGATGTGTAAGCAAAAAATTTTTGATAAAAGAAAATTGAGCCCTAACCGCTTACCCGCGCCCTCGGTACTTTCTACTACGCAGCCTGGGATGTAATTGGAATATGCCAGGTAACTACTCCGATGGATTCTCGTCTTGTCAAGGCGATTCCACTCTCCCCATGGGAATATACGTCGACAACGGTGTGACAACCACTTTCCATCAAGGGGATCCCGTAACACCCTCCGCACACCCACCCGGCGCATCGTCTTCTTGCACTTACTACGCTACGTTATCTAACTATAACTCCCCTGCTCCTTCGTTCACTGGGAGCTTATCCAATAGCGTGATTACGATCACTTCGTCTGCTGCTGGGAGGGGTGGCAGTACTGGTACCGGTACTAGTACTAGCACGACTAAGAGTAAACCCTCCGGGGGCGCTACATCTTTAACGTTTGGTACTTCGGGTTCGCTCATGACGTTCGTTGGCACTGGCGTGCTCCTCGGTGCTTCGATCGTTTTTGTTGTGTTGTAATTTTTTTTTTTTTAAGTAATGTTGTACCCAAGTACTTTATTGAGCGCGTCGTACGGGGATATATCTCTGTATTTGTCCTCCCAAATGTTGTTGTGCGATCCGGCGGCTTCTGTACGTTGGCGCTGACTTCAATACAGAAATCCCCTTTGACTATGTATATATTAAGTTAAAAATTTGGTTGGTGATAGGATCGACAAAACCAAACTATATACCTCTATCAGTACAACTATACCTATACTCATCTGAACTAAGCTAAGCTATATAACACCTTCAACACCCACTCCAAGATGACTCCTATTTCTGCTGTTTCTCCCCCCCCCCCCCCCCGGCACAAAACACATTAGAGTATCCAGCTACGGAGAGACCCAAAGGAAGTGTGTCCAGCACAAAATCAATCAACGAAAAAAGGAAAAAAAAAAAAAGTGAACCCCCTCCCCCCCTAACCCCCGTCCGTATATGATAGCAGGGCTACCACTCCAACACCGAAGGGAAGAACTTTTCGATTAATGCCATATAATAAGGTTTGAGTTGCTCTACGGGCATAGGCGCATCCGCTTTGGAATATAGATCATATGGATTGAATGCTCGGACCGCTTCGAGGTATTTGTAATCTCGGGGTTCCATCAAGTGAGTGTAAGCACCCTCGCGGTGCCATCTTTTGACGACGACAACAACAACAACAACCGAAAAACAACAAAGGCCGTGAGTTTCACATGGGGAAAAAGAAGAGAAAGAAAGAAGAGGTTCGATGAATGTAAAAAGGGAAAGGGTACTTACGGATAAAAACTGTGATATCGGATCATGGCGAGACCTTCTTCGGGAAGCGTACTCTGCTCTCGGAAGACTTGGTAGAGATACTAGCAAAAAAAAAATCCGTGTCCAATAATCAAACACACACACCCTTGTGAATATCCAAGTTCCCCGAGCTGGAAAACAGACAGTATTATGCATTACCTCGTCGTGACCATAACTTAGCATGACATTGTCAAGTCCGCATCCAGGCTGTGAGAGAGAGAGAGAGAGAGTTCCATTTGTTGTTAGCTACAAAGCATTGAGGAAAGAAAAACCGAACAACACACAGTGTACACCCCGTTTACTGTTGAGAAAGTTGGATCGTTGAAGTCCGGATTGGCAACGAAGGTGTCATGATAAATGATTCGCTCGTCAAACTTGCACCCGACAACAAAAGTATCCTGTTGCAAAAAGAGGGGGGGTTAATTCAATATGGGGTTAGCGTTTTCAGCGCAAGTGAGTATACGAACTCCGACGACGTCCCATTGTCCCCTAAACAAAGATTACATAGAAGATGAACAAAGAGATCAGGGGGGGAAGCTGCAGTTAAAACGTACTGTGATCCTAGGAAAAAGAGCAACTTGCCCAAGTCGTGAGTTAACCCGACGACTTGCATCCACTCCGGTTTCCCATCCCTCCTTATGGCTTCGGCAGTTTGTAACCTATAACAACACCCCAATCAATGAAAAAAAAAAAAGAAGAAGAAGTCGACGGCGTGTCCGAGTAAATAATAAGTAAGAGACGGGAGGGGGGGTTGTTGCGTACAAATGCTCAATTTGACTCAAATGAGTATCCGGATCAGACTCGTCGATCAAAGTATTCAATTTCTCGATAGCTTCCCATACGGACATTTTGATTTTTGGACGTATGCGGTGTTTGACGCGAACGTCGATATTGAATGCAACGGTTTGTTTGGTGTGTTGTTCCTGTGTGAATGAAGAGAAGAGAACCCACAAAAGGTAAGCAAAAAAGAAAGAACAACCGAAGAAATGATCAGATTAGACAAGTGGCGTATATCAAGAGGAAGAAGAAGAAGAAGAAGCCCCTTACAGCATAAAAGGCTTTGACGGTATCGGTGGCATCGACGTATTGTCTAAACTGAGTCTTATCCTTCTGAGAATCAAACGTGCTGAGGGTATTCCAAGACGACTCTTCTTGCGTACTGTCGTCGGCGACCACGACGCGTTCAGTCTTGTTCAGCTTGCTCTTGAGCAGGTTCACTTGATCGACTGCATCGGAGACGCGTTCCAGAGATGACCCGGATCGTGAACGCATGATGGTGGTGGTGGTGGAAGGGGCTTGGATATTGTCAGCGAGGGGAATCATCGAGGCGGGAATGAGTCGTTGAAAGCGACGAAAAAAAAACGGGGAGTGTGTGGGTTGTGGGGGAGGTCAAGCTCTCTCGCGAATCGGAATGTTACTCGGGCCCCAAAGGATGAAGTGGCTTGGCAGAGGCGGTGGTTAGGAAAGGGGGAGGGGATGTGGTGCTGCTGAAAAGGAGCCCAGAAGGGCCTCTATTTAAGCACCTGAACTAATTATTATCGCGCGATGGTACTCAAGTTGCAAACGTTTGTACGTACATAATTAGAGGAGAACCCTGTCAAGCTTGGAATATTCCCATGAAGACCGCCAGACCGACTGCCTTGCGAACCGGCGGGGGTTGTTGGGTTAGTTCACCGTATTACCGCTACAACGTAGCACAGGGACATCAACGCCAATAGTACATCAACTTTCAAAGTCTCATTGATTGCTGCCACTTGTATTAGCAAGATCGTATAGATGGTGATTAGGCGAAAGTAAATGTGTTGGTAGGGGGGTGAGAGGTTTACTGAGCGCCGATGGAAATCTATATTTGCTTATTATCATGTTGCTTTTACACTCAAGTGAATTGGATTTCCCATACATCGGGATTAGTACAGAGCCACCGAGTGGAAGGGGGGTTGCTTTTTCAGTTCCGTTCAGTGATGTAGACGTCGTTTTTTTGGGTCATTCATACCCGAATAGGAGAAGTTCGAGTCTTCGCTGCGCAAATCTTCAGATTCGGTATACCTCCCGGTGGCAAAACTGATACGCCACAACCCAAAAGCTTAAGTAGGGGCATAAGTCCGAATGACCAAATTCCGTATAAGTAAGCCCCCTTAGGTTGTAATTGTGTGGCGAAACGAATGTGGCCATTGCCGTGATTTGCGACACAATTCCCACGATCAACCAACTGCAATGACACCTTATGTACCCATACATACATAACAGCGGACAAAGCGTTATCTCCTTCAAATTGACTCGTTCCATCACGTTTCGTTTGCTTCTATTTCAACCGAAGGATCGCGCGCCAGTTCCCTGGAAAGGCCGTAGACCCTGAAACCGATTCCAAGCCACCACCCATTGTAAGCGTGGAAGAACAATCAAGTAAACATAACATTGAGCGCTGAACGGCAACTTTGCATATGTGCACATTGAATCCGTCCTCTCATCAAACTTTGATGGAAAAAAAAGGAAAAGGAAAAGGGAAAAAAGGGTTGCTTCAAATATTGAACCATCAAAATTTGAGAGCCTTCTCTGCGATGAGGGTTCAACGTGCCTGGATTCGATTGAGTTACATATCTCACACACACAAATTTGAGTCCTTCCCGTCCAGGGTACGGCCCCTAATCAGACTTTGATCAAAATCGATTTTCATTATTTAATTTTCAAGAAGAACTGTAGCGGCTTGTCCTCGGATAACAGGGTCCGATCCCGCTTGTGATTAAAACAAACATTATATACATATCCATATTGCCGGGTTTATTCTGCTGATCCCCTCGTTTTTGGCTGATACCCCTGTATTATGATGCACGGTAGCCACAAGCATTAGCCTTCCCTGTTAGTTTCGATTATATGTCGTCTTTCTGGTTTTGCACACTTGGACCCCATGTTTATGCCCAACACGTATACATGGATAATTTCCGTCTTACAAGAGAGGCCTTCATGTTCCACTAGGGCCCGCGCCCGAAAACTGGATCCGTCATCGGCATTAGTTGGCCGGTGTTGCCAAGTTGATGATGGCCTGATTGAGGTAAATGAGTCATGGCCCCCCGCTTTTGCCTCTCTTTGCACATGGAAATTACATATGTAATGATCCCGCAGCCAATGCTTCTCACTCAATCGGAAGCCGAGACCACCGTCCGGCTCTGAAGCTTACATAATTAGCCGTACCAATCGTTATCCTTCTTTATGACCCTAACGTGGCTGGGGGGGGGGGGCGGCGGCAATCAGTGTCATGTCACATTGTGTTTAATACTTAAAATTCTGTCTCCGGCAAATCAACGTACAATAGCCGGCGCCGCGCTCAATACATATCCATCCCTCGTGACGAGCTTTTTTGCTCGGGGAACCTCAAGTGCGGCGGCCGTGTCATAGTTTTTATAAAAGCCACTGGCTTAGTAAAAGAGCGCCGGGGTTGGGGCAAAAGAACGAGGGGGGGGCCATCAGACAAAACCCACATGCAACGGCGCTGTTTTTTTTTTTTTGAAGTCACAGTCAGCATATACGGGCATGGTGTACTTACTAGTCGTGTATCCATCAGTACTGCTGATCGGTTGGGATGCGCGCTTTGCACTAGTGCTAGTTGTGGTTGAATTCGCGATCGATTGTGCATGAGAAAACTGCTTGGGGCTGGTGCTTTGTTCCGTGACAACTCCCCATCCAACCGAACACGCGCGCACGCGCGCTTCTTTTCGCCGTTTCCCTCTAAGCATAGGATACTACCACACTTGCCCCATACCTTGCCCCGATCTAGCTTGAGAATACCCCCCTTCTTCAATCCCTGGGTCCGAATTCTCTAGTGGTCCAGTGGCTCCCATGCATGTACCTCCCTTCAGTGTGTTAGAAGGCGCGCTCTCGATGAACTGCGAACCCTTCAATAGGGGTGCCGTCATGCAACTGCCCTCCGCAATCCTCAGCAACCTTTACCTTCAAGATGGCGATTAATCTTGGATGGCCTGCGTGGCCCCTACAACCAACACTGTCATGAATGAATGATGGATCGAACAGCTCAGTGTGGGATTCTGGCACAGCAGAAGAACGATCGATCGATTAATCGATTTCCATGGAAAATGTAAAAAAAAAAAGCAAGACAGAGAAGGAGTAGATGTCTCTCCAAGTATGCTGGCTCCCTCAGCCCTCTATCGACGCTTTTTTTCGTATTGCTTGCCGCCCCTACCCCCCGATTCATTACGAATGGAAACATGCAACGGCTTTGTCGGTCGCAAACCGAATATTGGCAGCATAACAAGTTACTAACCCTCGCCTCTTTTAGATATCGAATCGGACATGATTTTTTTTTTTTTTTGGCCGCCTGCGACACTGAAAAGCACGGATATCAAAGAGATGGGGATAAATGCAGACATGGAGGATCAACGGTTACCCAAACATCATGCGTGTCCATTACTTTTTAACTCTGGATCTACACCAAGGTAGTAGTAATTCATGCAACAAATCCGTAAGTAACCACCACATTCCCGACCCATCTCATCTTTTTGTGTGTGTGTGTTTTTTTTTTTCGACCACGACCTTCAATTGCAGGTACCAGCTGCTCGAACGGGGTCAGGCAAAGACCATCTCCTGCGCTCACCTTCTCGGCCGATTGGGTCTCCATGATGTGTCAAACACGGTTGTTCCAAACTTTCCCCTTCTTTGTACGTGCCCCTCCACACGCCCTCCATGATGCGAGGTTGTCACTTGCATGAAATAATAAACTGTGTTGATAAATATCCATGATATATATTATTGGGGTCCACATAGCTCATTATGTATTGGCAAAAAAAAAAAAAGTGTTTTGCGCTTTGTCTGATAATAAAAAGTCACTCGCCTCGCTTTGTGGCGACTCGGATGGTACCCCCTCACCCCCATAGAAATGCGGTGTGAAGGAGTTGCGGAAGTTCAGTGCGTATCTGCTCAAAGCGTGCGCGCGCGCGCGCGCGTGCCCCTCTCCGCCACAAAGGGGCTTTCCCATCAACCAACCTAGGTTGCCTTTTTTCTTTTTTCCCCCTTTTCCCCTTTCTTCCTACGCGCGCAGGCACTTTCCTCCATTGTCACCCCGACGCCACCGCGAGTTCTTATCTTCTCTTCTATAGAATGTTCAGGCCCGGTGTTTCCGGCCTCTATCGATGTGGGGGGTGTCGATGCAACAACGACTTTCTAGTAGCCTCCGTGCCTTGGAGTACGGGGCTTGGATTTCGCCGGCCTCGTTCTTGTGGGTCGCTGGGCTGTTGGTACGGTATAAGGCTTGGATTCGACATGGGCCTGAGTTAGAGGGCCGGGTTGGGAGAACCTGAATCCAGGGGGGAATTAACCGCCGTATATAAGCGTCAGCCTGCCAAGGGACTGTTTCCTCCCGTTGTTACATAAGGGGATGGACTATCCATGACATGGTGGTATGGCGGGTTGACGGAGTTCTCTCGCTCTGGGTGGTGTTGTCGGGGTGGGTTTCTGTGTTATGCGTACATGGGAGAATGCTAGAGCTACGTTGGTGCTTTCAACATATACCGGGTGTGATCCCCACTTGGCTGCTCCTGTTTCCTTCGTCCTCGGTCTGCGTGCGTCTTCGGGGGGTTACGTTTGTCAATGGCACGCGATTCTCTTATGGATTCTGCTAGCTGTCTGAGCAAGCCATGACGACGCGCTGGAACGCATATCATGAGCGCTCATATCAGTTATTGATATCATACTATATGCACTGTTGGTCTTCTCATCTTATTTCTTTATCACTTTTGTCTGATATCTTGTTATTACCTTGGCTACTTATACCGCTGCGCGGTGACAATGTTATGTCTAGAGAGATCTTTCCCCCGCTCGAGCATCCCCGCCGTGCGCCACATAACAATAATGGAAAAGGACTGTCATGTCAGCTCAGCTCAGCCCAGCGTGGGAAATTGGAGGCCATGCATGAACTTGCCGCATCACTCCCTTCTTCATATGTTCCACCGTGCATGCCATCGCCAACAAAGTGAGGATGGGCTGGGGACAAGCGCTAGTCAGCTTTGATCGTTTTGACCTGATAAATCGCTCAACTTGCTGGCAGGGGCGATCACACTATGTAATCATTGGTCTGTTGATTTGCAAAAAATCCCGCGTCTTCCCGTCACCCGTGACCACCCTGCTGAGAAAAACCTCCCCCTAGATAACTGAGCATGACCGCGGAATCATTATGGAGATACCCAATTTATCGCTCTGTGCTTTTCCCCCTTGCCTTGCCTTGACTTTCGGTGGTTCTCCAACTAGTCCCCTTGTATACTGTACTGTGCATCGTCCATCTTTGGCAGCTGGCAATGGTTCCCAAGCAGAGCGTCCTTGCCGTCCTGTGCGGTCTAACGCTCGTATCGGCGCAGAATTTTACCGCACCAGTTCCCTCGTGCGTTGGTTCGATACTGATAAGCTCTTTTGAATCGGGCTCATTTCTCCAATCAGTTACACGGCGACATATCTTCCTGCGAACGTCCCCAATAAGACGGAGCAGGGTCAATTGGGTTACAACAACGTTCGTAAAACCTTCCCATTACTTTCTGGAGGTTTTTCACTTATATCACTACAGTGTGGGAACAGCAGCTCGCAGGATAGTTTGTGCCAAGACAGTTATCGTGGGTTCTTCCACAGCGCGCGTCGTATCACACATCTAATCTTGTCTGTGAACAGTCAATGCTTGGAATGATTTTTGTGTCTGGGTGAGTTTGTAACCTGACCTTACAACGGAACTTCATGCCATGGCACCGCTTTGGATCAGGCTCCACCTTCCAACACATCTTCTTTTGGGAATTCCTCCATTGGAAACACGGAACGTTTTGTCGTGTCTTGGTGCTTGAAGGTAGGCAGAGGCACGGCTCTACAAGTCCATCGATAATGCTTCGATCCTGACGGACGGCGGCGCCATCTCTGTGCAGAGTGGATATGGAACGCGGCTCATCCCGAAAGATACAGTGACTGGCGCTCATTTCGTCATCACACCAAATTACGTCCAGATTACCGGTGTCGGAAGGCTAACGTCTATGAACATCCCCGATGGTGACGAGGGTGGAGAACTTGATCCTCATGTACTTGCCTTTTGATTTCTCGCCAAGTTCCGAATTCTCACATCACTGATCTAGGGTTCCGATGGCCTTGGTAACCCAATTGGTATGTACTCTATGGACGTTAGCTTCCTACAGAGACATTTGAGCTGTTCATTGTCAAAGGTGGCCTCTTCTTTGGAAGTGCTAATAAGGGCGTGATGCGGCAATACCACGAGTGGATAGAATTTATAAGCTATAACACGTTCTGTGCACGAATTTGCATTGATCAGCCAGGTTCGACTCAGTATTGTGAACATGTCAGTTTCCCACGGACTCTCTTTTACCGTTGTCGCGTGTTGATCACCCATTCTGGCACCCAATAACAGATCTACGATGTGTAAGCTTTTCCATTGACCGAACTGACCATGAATCTTTTTAAACCAACTTTATATGGCAGGATGGGTTGCTTATGGAACATGCCCGGAAATTACAGTGATGGTTTCTCGTCATGCCATGGTGATTCCACTGAACCCATGGGTCTTTATGTTGCCAATGGCACTACGTCCACCTTCCACCAAGGACAACCAACCACACCCCTTGCTCACCCAGCGGGCGCTTCATCCTCCTGTACCTACTTCGCGTCACTGAACACCAAGAACAATCCGTCACCTTCTCCCAGCTCGGGCGGACTCAGTACCACCAGTTCAAATACCAATACGATCACGACTAAGCCATCTGTGACGAGCACTGGTTCTACCGCTCGCCTAACTTCGACGACCAAGGCAGGGGATGCGCCAGCTCGTTTGGCGGTGATGTTTGGCTGGGGTACCTTGATTAGCACTTGTATGCTATTCGGCGCATCGCTTGCTCTCTTGTGAAGAGATATCGTTCCTGCTATTTATTTAGCAATGTGCGGCCTTAGCAATCTTCTCCCCTTTGTCTTTGTGCTTGTTCGCCACTGTTTGCATTCCTGAACTTTCCGTGTCCCCCTGGAACGATAGATAGAATAGCTGGATACAAGCCTGGCATGCCATTCTATACCTTTTGCAACGTTATCGCCCGTTTTCCTGCTCGACCCGGCTCGTTCAAGACATTTTTGCCATCTGTTCTTTATCTTTCGACTGCTATTTTTGCGATGTAGCCTCCACTGCAGAGTGTCTCTGACCAATTGGAGTTAGTCTTAGTGCTGAGACTCGCTTTGGCCATATCACTTCATATTGGTACATTGTTTCATATCGACGAATTGCTCAAGGCTCGAAACAAACACCAGAAAAGGTAACCTCAGAACTACATTTCAGACCCGGACGCCCTGACAACCCCTTCCGAGTGAGGAGTCTCAGGCGAAATCCCAGTCCTCAAAGCCAACCTTAACTCCCCAAGGAGGTTTGATGAAGCGTTTCGCCTTCTCCGGGTTGTCGGAAAGCGCATCGATCTTGGCGATATCCTCAGCGGAAAGATTGGCAGGTTTCGAATTGGTGAGGATACGTGAGGGTGTAACGGATTTGGGAAGCACGATGATATTCTTAGCCACTATTTGAAGAATGCATTGTTGTGAGTGGAGGTCTCTTGACTGGACTTTGTGAAAGAGGGGACAAAATGGGATTGGGACCTACCAAACCACCCGATAACGATCTGAGCAGGCTCGGCACCGTATTTCTGTGCAAGCTCGACAATTACGTCGTCCTTCAAAATCGGACTGTTTGTGGAACCGAGTGGGGAGTATGCTTGTGGGACGATGCCTTCTGACTCCAGGTACTTGAGCAACTTCCACTGAGGAAGGTAAGGATGAAGTTCAATTTGGTTGACGGCGGGTTTGATTGTGGCGGTAGGGAGAATCTTGAGGAGAGTGTATTCCGAAAAATTAGACACCCCGATATGTTTCGTTTTGCCTTTCGATGTTTAATCGATGAGACAGTCTTCTTGGGCACGAGCAAGGACCAGCTCTCACCTTTCTTCTGCACATCCTCGAAAGCCTTCCAAGTCTTGCTAAGGTCATGGTTGTGATCAATGTCGAATTTTCCATCTGGTGTTGTCGGGAACAATGGATGGTTCCCATTAGGGTTCAACGCAATCGGCCAGTGGATCAAAAGCACTAGGGATGCAATGTAATAAGAGGTCACCGGGGCATGGAAGTGGCGTAACGCCACTCGGCATCGAAGGACTCACAATCGATGTAATCAATACCCAAATTCTCCAAGATTTTGTCTACACATTCCTCGACCTTCTCGAGGTAAGTGCTCCAGACTTTACTGGTGATGAAGATATCCTCGCGTTTCACGCCACTCTTTTTTAGGCCCTCCTTGACTGCTTTCTCGTTCTCGTACGCAAGCGCGCAATCGATGTGGAGATAACCGGCCTCAGACAATGCATAAGCCACGGCATCGGTCACTTGCTCGGCGGGCGACTGCCATGTGCCGAGGCCGATGGCGGGGATCGTCGCACCGGGTGTGGTGGCGTTAGGCAATTTGATAGTGGTCGTGATACTTGGACCCATCACTCGAGGAGGAAAAGATAGCAAAGATGGAGGGAAAAGGAAACGAGAAGCCGGGAGGTGCTATTTATATGGGAGATTAGACGCTCTTTAAGAGGCCGTGGCGGTCATGCTGCAGTCTGCGTAAACGTGATATTTTAAATACAACGCTATGACCTCGCGGGCACATGCCCTGCGACCAAGAGGCAAAATGGATACGATGCAACCAATTATCAAACTCACCTTGGCCAGTCAGATTGTTTCTTCTAGACCGAGAAAGATTGATCTGGATCGTGGTCGATCGAGCGCATTGTGCCGATGGTTCCTAACTGTCCTGCCGATGGGTCATTGCACCCAGGTGACCACGGTCAGGCGCGCCGGGCGTGGGATCGCGAGATGTGTCGGGTGTGTATATATATATTCAAACGGCGTGTTATTGTAGCCATCTGTTCCCACGTCCGAAAAGCAGGAAGATAAATGGCAGGGCTAACCATTTAGCATACAGCCTCGATTCCCCACCCCCACCTTTGTGAGCCAGTCCCTCACAGCTTCACTCGTATCGAGCTTCTCTTATATGAGCTCAGCGCAACTGATGATGTCACTGATATGAATGCCCAGGAACGTATACGTGTGCATAGCCTCTCCTCCAGTCTTTGATAGACTATCACTGATCTCTGCCGCGTCGATCCTGTCCGCTTTCACTGCTTGGCGCCGCGGAACTACCTGAGGCAAATCATCGTCAATCCTTTTCAGCTCGTCAGAATTGCCGGTGGGTGACTGTGGGTGACTGTCAACATTGGCGTGAATACTGTAGAGGTAGCTCAGGCTGTCGTCGATACCGTCAGACAATTAGTAATGGGAGTTACAAGGACGTGAAGGATAAGGGGGTATTGGAGAAGTATCTGAACCTTGATAGGATCGAGAGCATATTCGGCGCAATGGCAATGGTCATGAGCAATGACAGAAGGCAGGTAGCGATGTGCAACACGACACCCAAATACTCCTGGATTGCAACCGCAGAGCAAAAGATCGTCCGCTCGGATGATGGTAAATATGGAAGCCAGATCCCGATGCTAGCATGATTAGCCGGCCAGTGCGGGAGTGCAATAAAAACTCGGAAAGGATTGACTAGCTAGCCGTCGCTTTGCAGTGTCTTTCCGATCAGATTGTATATATACCCCGTCAGAATGCCAGATAATTAAACCAGCCATTGGGAATAAATTCACCGAATGAGAAAACGCTCACGTCACGAAAACCAGACAGGTGTTATAGGATTCTGTTTGTGTCAGCTTTGTGCACTTCAAGATAGCCATGATCACGAGCTTTCAATGCCTCATTATCCGGATAATGGTACCAGCAAGGCGTCAGCTGAGGTATGCTTACTTCCCCAGATAGGCACCCTAAAGTAAGCCGCTGGGATGCGGTGCTTTCATTTGCGGGTGGCGGGGGCGCGCACTTGACTCAGATGGGGAGAAAGCAGGCGCCGATTCGCCCCACGCGGTGTTGCGAGACCTGCCTGGTGATTCCTGCTACGAATATACTCATAGCGGGCCTACAAACCTTTTTCACCAGCGTCGCCAAGCAAGAGGCCCTTTAACTCTTGCGTACCTTTATCTTTATCTCCGTACTTTTGTCACTCGCCGCGCTTCCGACCCTTATCCCTGTTCTTTTGAACCGTTTCATTCACGTCGAACCTCATATTCCGGCTTCTTTCTCCCCACGAATCAGCAGTACCTCTTTGAACAACCTAGATGGATTGGTGGCCTCATCGTTGTTTGCAGCAAGTCGCCTCGTGAATATGTACGAAGTCGGATTTGCCCTGCCAGTTCGCATGCTAATTGCAGAGATCCAGTCACATAGATATAGATGGACTAAAGGACAACGCATCCTGAGTCGTGAGCACCGTGAAGATCATGAAAAAGCTAAAAGCAAGACAAACGATTTTTTAGCTCATGTAGGAACCATCATTGCTATGTGATAAAAGCAAGACGATAAAGGAGAGAATATTATAGATCGATCTGGCGAGCTGACGGAAATGGGAAGAAAAATCAAATCACTCAAGCAGGCCACGGAATTTATTCGAAAGGATTGTAATCAGCAGATCCAGAATAATGGGTTTGGCTGCCAAAGTACTCCGCAGACTGAGGTTGGGTTGTGGACTCTGGTGGCTCGGGCGATGGCAGAAACCCTGTTTGACTCTCATTGTACCTGTGCCCTCGACGCCGGCCACCTGCGCCATATGCCACTCCTGAGGCACCAGCGCCTAAGGGGGCACCAACAACAGCACCCCAAGGCAACTGAGGAATCCCAGCTCCCGAACCAGTGGCGGCACCCACATTACCAGCAAACGGTGCTGAAGGAGCTCCGAAGCCTTGAGGCGCTACGCCTGCCGGTGCACCCCCCACTCCAGCGCTCGCACCAGATCCATATCCTGCACTTGCTCCCGCGGATCCGCCAAGCCCTCCAGGTCCATACCCGGCGCTTGCTCCTGCGGATCCCCCTACTCCAGATCCATACCCGGCACTCACACCTCCAGCACCATACCCAGAACTCCCAGCCCCGGCTCCATACGCAGCATTCCCTCCTCCAGAAGCATAGCCTGCCGCACCACCATCTGAACCAAAAGGCGCTGGTACACCAAAATTGCCAAAAGGTGCTTGAGAGCCCACTGTAGCGGTGGTACCATCCGGCGCGTACCCTGGGCCTCCACCAGCGCCAGAAGACCCTGCTTCCCCTCCAGACGCGTAGGGAGAACCGAAAGAAGATGGGCTAGCCCCAAATGAAGGCGACGTCGATCCTAGCGGGGGAGGTGTACTTTCGCCGATGCCATAACTAATCATTTCGGGCTCAGGAATCGGGTCATGAACGTCAGGTCCTCGAGGGAAGAATTTGTACATCAAGAATCCGAGAGCTGCAAGGCCTACCAGACCGCCGGCAACTCCACCAGCGATCGCACCCACATTAGTTCCACCCCCTCCAGAGTTTCCGGCTGGGGCAACAACGACCGTAGGAACACCACCAGAATTAGTTGTGGTATATGACGTAACACCCTTGGATCTGTAAATATTCACTGATGCAACACTCGCGGTGGATATCGAGGAAATCGAGGAAATCGCGGAAGCTGGGAGTGAGGTCGTTGTCGTTGTCGAGGTAGGAATCGAGCCGGATGACGAACTAGTCACAATTGATCCAGAGGAGGATCTTGTTAGTGATCTTGAGGAAGTTGACACTGGTGAGCTTGTGGGTGTTAGCTGAGAAGTTGAAGATACTTGCGAAGTTGGAGAGGATGAAGTCGTTATCTAAGATAGCGAGAAGTCAGTAGGTACGTATCCGGTTTGAGTTGGGGTGGATACCTGAGTTGAAGCAGGAGCGGACGAGGTTGTGGATGTAGACGTGAATGTGGAGGTGGGAGTGGAAGTAGGGGTGGAAGTGGAGGTGGGAGTGGAAATGGGAGTGGTCGTGCCGGAAGCAGGGGTAGAGGTGGTGGGATGGGGAGTGTTACTCACAGTACTTGATGTGCTTGAGGTGCTCGACGTGGTCGACGTGGTTGAAGTGCTCGAGGTGCTCGAACTGCTCGAACTACTCGAACTGCTTGAACTGCTTGAACTGCTTGAACTGCTCGAACTGCTCGAACTGCTCGAACTGCTTGAACTGCTCGAACTGCTCGAACTACTCGAGGATGTTGAAGTGCTCGAGGAGGTCGTTGTCGTTGTCGTAGAAGAGCCTGATGTTTTGTCATGAATGCATCGAGACAGGAATGTCGCTAAGCAGACACGAACCGTTGCCTTCAGCCCTGATGCTGAGTTCAGCCCTAATGCCGAGGATACCACCATTGGGATTCAGATAAGCCCATCCAGGGACCCTGGTACCACCAGGGATCGGTTCGCTATATCTAATTTTGAGCAAGCAAAGTGTTCAATGAAGTTCAGGGACAGTGAATCAGAAGTACGAACGTTGTGACTGGGTCGGTATCTTCCCCACAATTACTCTGCCAGATCCATAGACTGCATACAAAGAGGCTTCAGGGTTCAGATGTTGCGCTAGTGCTTCACGGGACACACCTAGACCACGTTCCATTTTGACAACCCGCACACGCAGCCATGAGGGAGTAAACGACGCTCGAGCATCCACCTTATAATCCGTATCGTACTGGTTAGTAAACCTTTGCTGCTCTACGTTAGAAGTTGCACTCACATTTACTGTTAACCAATGGCTCACGATAGAACCGAACACCCAGGGAGTCAAGGGAAGGGACGTTGAAACCTAGAGAGCGGCATATGAAGAAAGCAACACGCAGTCTCAAGTTAGAGCTCACCAGGAGAACAAGTGTTCTGAAGATAGGCTGCGACCTGAGTTGAAGATAAGAGAGGCGCCATTTTTGCCAATCTCTGGTTTGGCACCTACCAGGCAAGGACTTTGGGCAAGAGAATTGAAAGACTAGCAAAAAATCACATCAGCTCGTCTTCTACGCCTTCCAAGTAAGTTGTCGGACCCATTGAAAGTTTGACACGTTACAGCGCGCAGATGTCTATACAGAAGAAGCATGTCACCGAACGGACGACGGGATTGACAAGCGCGGAGGCAAACTTCTTCGTTAACGTACCGACTGAGCATGCACCGTCCAGCTTAACTTTGCCAGAAGAAAGATCAGAACCAGTGGAGCAACCATTGCAGTACTCAAGGAAGAAGAAACGGAGATCGAGCCATCTTATAACGCTGCGCGTGTTCGGGACTTTATTATTTCAAATTCCCAACACAGCCTTTGGCTCAGCCTCGTTGTGCCTTGGGACCAAGTTCACGTTTTACGTTGGTGGCGGGCGATCATCACTGGAATAATCCACCTTCCGGTTGTTGGATGTTTAACGTACCTGGAGACTTTAGAAAGCGCCAAGGGCAGGGGATAAATACACGAAGATAAAGTGAAAAAGTGAAAAGTAAATACTAAGGAGATAAGCAAGAGATAAGTCCAATCCTGTCCCCTTTTGTGCAAGCAATAACCAAATTCTACTCCACTGTCAAGTCTTCACGTTCTGGAACGAGAACGAGTCCTGGTTGTCCCTGGTTGTCGGAGAATGGATTCCTCCGGTTCCGCAACGCCGAGGCCAATTCAATTCAATTAAATGGGTTGAACTTGAAACTCATCTACACCAACCCCAGACTCCTACCCCGGTAATTTTCCGAACTTTATCCGCAACTTCTGGCATATGTAATAAGTTGCACAGCTCAAGCTATTATTAGCTGTGGGAATGAGTTAAGGGACCGTGTAAATATCACGTGTAACAACTTATGGCAGCTAGCGGCACATTGCGGCCTGTTCACAAGCCGAGTTACTCTTTTGTAGTTCGAATGGAATGCACCACTGGATTTCGCGACAATGATGACTACAGGAAAGACCTGCCCATGATTTGCATTGTCGTTAGGTGAGAGAGAGATGGGGTCCGGTCCGGTGACTTATTTTGCGGGAACGAAAGCACCCAGTGTCGACTTGGCATTAGACCCAACTTAGATGCGAGGGCAGGATTGCATGGGAATCTTCCGGACGATTAAACTATTGGCCACAACGTTAGAGCTCACGAGTGATATCGACATCTACAGCATTGCCATCTTTCGCAGTGGAAAATGTTACGAAGCCATAGATGCTGGAGTCCTGCCTAGCAGTGGAACCGGTTTCGCAGAGGGATGCAAACCGCGTCCAATTCTGGACCTGCATATATGCTTCTTGAGAATTGAGAGTATAGGTTGCACCATCCATTCTCGCAAGCGTTAGTGTCTCTGGTAGAAGCGAGGTAGCAAACAAAATGAAGTCATTGTGTGCCGCAAGTGGTTCAGAGACAGCTTCGTATGCCATCAAATGAGTGAGCGTCGAGTGATTGCCTAATGCACATTCTAGCAGCTGGGACCTGCAATTGCTGACATGACAGTTGTCAAATGTGAGGGACATCGCTCTGGTGAGATTGAACATGAGTCACCTGTACGAGAGAATAAGTAGAGGCTTGTCGGTGTCGGTTTGGGAAGGATGAACGAGTCCCGAGCACACCCATCCACCGGCAGAATCAAGATCAAGTGGCTGACGACGCAGGTCATGGTGGGTATCCCAGAGCTCTAACGTTCCCCCCGAAGATGCGAGGAAGAGCCAACGGCCTCCGTAGAGAGAGACCCATGTGATGGAATTGGCATTGCATTGAATATTCTTGATACACCGTGGGCGTGAAGGCCACCGATTGCGCAAGCCACGGAAGGTCCGGACAGCGAGGCGCTCCAGAACAGTTCTTGGTGAGGCACGGAGCCCACTGAGGTATTGTGGCATCCAGAGGCCTGCTTTGACTATGTTATCATATATCCATGCAATCCAGAATACCTTTGAAAGCGACATCCAATAGAGATGCCTTGAACCACACTGGAGAATGGCGATAGTGGCTTGATCAATAAAGCAGTGCTGGAAACTCACCTTTCTTATGGAGAATGTGTCATCAATAGTTAATAATGTGCCAAACGCAATGAAAATGTCGTCTGGAATCGACTCTGGGCGCATTTGCGCTCAGAGTAGGGAAGTTTGCAAGGTTTCGGAGTAAGTTACCCATACTACCGAACGGACAACTTACCCGGAAGTGGCTTGCATCCGTAAGCATCGGATTGGGTGGCTTTAACTGTCTCGGAGAGACCAGACATCCTTGGAACACTCCATATTCGATGACTATTGCCTACTTCTTATTCACAAGTAGAGACCTGCATCGAAGTTGTTTCTGAAGGTATGGCTGAAGAAAAACGTTTGAAGCAAGCGGCTCTCTATGCCACTAGTATACACCACGTTCGATTGGACAAGCCATGTGTATACAGGCTTTACGCTGGGAAAACACATTATTTTGTCATCTGGAGCGGCCCAGTTGCTGCTTACCGATCACCGGGACAGTTGTACTCGGAGTCCCAAGCCCTCAAAAAATACGTCGCGTCCCTCTATAATGCACCCCCGTCGCGCATCACCTCATCTCCTGATGCTACTCGTGCTGGCTTCTTCTTGTTATCAGATAACGCAGGCTTAGAGGGACTCTATCGCTGCATATTTCCGGGAATTCCTCACACTCGCTGCACGCGTGTGTATGCGCAAGTGGGCCCTCCCGTAGCCCAAGGAGCCCCCATAATTTACAAACAGGTTATGGGTCGACTGGATGGAGGAGATCCGGTTCACCATGAAATGGAGATACTCGACCGTATCCACAAGGATGGCTATGTCGCAGGGGTTGTTCGAGGCGTTGAGTTCGATGGGGAACCCATTACTATCGACGTTGGCATCTGGGACTCGGACGAACTGAACCAATGGAATGTCGATAAAATGCATGGACAAGTGGCCTCCCGAAGAAGTTCTGCAATGATCTACCTGGACACTGGTGTGTCAATCTCACAAGGGAGGACTGTCTTGGATCTACTTGCAGGATTCTTCGATATTGTGGAAGGTACGAAACATCTGATTATCATGATGCTGAAATTGATTTCGTTAGAGTTACGTTATATTGTTGAACGCCATGAAGTTGTCCACCGTCACATCAGCCCCTCAAACATATATATATATGTAAAGAGCGTAACGCCCCAGAACCCAGCTGGTTTTGCTGAGAACATGCTGAATCCTTCGGACAACCAACCAACCTTCATAAACACATATCTTGACCCCGACAACAGGTGAGCGCCTTTGACCAAATAGTGAGCAGATATTCAAATCCCGTAATTGCCTCAGGAATCAGCCTAGGGGTCTGGTTGGTGATCTGCACATGGCCGCTAGCTACTGGCCTGATGACAATCAAGCAGCAGAGATTCTGAGACAGTTCAGTGTGCGTGATGTCAGTGTGTCGGTATTTCTTCAATGACAATGGATCTAGGGAACCCCACTGTATTCCCCCCGAGCAATTTTGTCAAGGTCTTGGGCCCCTTCACCTCAGAGATTCCGGCCCATGCCCGAGCTTCAAGGTGAGGTGCTCCACACGTACAATATGCTGTTTGGCGTTGGCGCATATGAGGCCGGTCAGGAGGATTATGATAACAACAACATTCACGAATTCGGTTCGCTGCAAAATCCACCATTATATCGCCCACGACACGATATCGAGTCTCTTGTTTGGGTCATTGTCGACACTCTGCTCCATGCAAAGCCTGAAGGGAGTGATGATTCTCCATTAATGGAATTAGCCAGGTTTGAGCAGACACTCAATTCAAGGAGGTACCGTGATGTCGACATGTCGACACTTTTATTCTTTTTGCCTTTGGATTGGTGGAAAGGAGCGCTTCATCCAGAATTAGGGCCAGTTCTTGGTGAACTGCTTCATAACATTGCCTTGCAGGTCGGTCCAGAATATGAATACCTAATCGAACCGCCGCGCTCCACCAATCTACACGAGGCGCTCCGAAGATTGCTCCTTCGGGCAATAGTGACCTTGAACCAGCAACCTCCCATTACTTTAGACTCGAGTCGACGAACTGTTCGGCTTTCTCCTTATGGACCCTCTCAGTGAGTTTGGTTACAGGTAGCAGTGCCTAGTAGGGTGGAGATCGGATTTAAGTACACGTGAACTTTTTGGCACTCCCACCATGTGTCAAATGGTGTTTCTTGTTCCCTTTTCTATTGAAATTTGTATGTTATGTACAAATTCATTAAAAATTTTCTTGTGCAATGTCAATATTATTCCGGCTATCTGTAGTGGGTCGTGAAAGCGTAAACTGTAAGGCAGACTGACCTCGGTCGGAATCGATAACTTAGACACAATATATTCGGCCAACTCCGCTAACCCGCGAGTCATGTCCAACCCAACCCAACCCCCCCCCAACCAACTCGGTTAGGAACTACATACCCGACCAATGGCGACGAAGCGAAAGTGTGAAGATGGCAAATCAGTAGTTCAGTCAGCCGATAGTTTGAGAGCATTACTGTCGTCTGCTATCACCAGTCATGATTCCGCCGAAATTGCTCTTCTTCACATAATGCACCAACACGATTTCGATTTGAGCATGTTGCGAGAGATCTTGTCTGGTCCGTCCATTGTCTTGTGATCTTTGGTGATTGACAGGATCGAATTTTCTTTAAGAGGATCGGACAGACGCTAATTTTTCCAATGTCAAGTACGAAGCCATCGCGTCGTTCGTCGGACTTGAAGCCAGTCTCCAGATGGCAGATATCGACAATTTCACGCTGCATCGTTCTCGCATTCCCACGACTCTTTTTAAATCCATTCTGGAGGATATGGATATTATGCAGACCCACTATGGGCCTCCAATTATGCATGAAACGGGAGAGGCGAGATCCCGGTTCCTGTCGCCAGTAAGTGCGAGTCAGCTCCTCACATGGCACTAAGTCGGAATCTGCTTTAGATCTTTAATCGTCTTGTTGCTGTATTCGAGTTTGCTTTCAGGAATCTGCCCGAATCACTTCTTGAAGGTCGCATCGCCACCGGGGGTGTGGAGTATTTCTTCAAGGCCTTCGGCTCTATTTCGCTTCTTTTCATCGAATTCAAACTCAAAACTGGCAGTGCAAAGGAGCGCTTAGACGCAATTGCCCAACTAATCGCAGAGTGCGACGGTCAGTTGCCCTTTTGGTGCCTAATTTTTCGGAGGCCAATTACATGTTGATACCCAGCTGGTGACTGGAACAATGCGCGACAGGGCTTCCGCGTTGCTGTGCATGGTATCCTGTGCGATGGAGATGTATTTGAATTCTTCCAGTTCGATGGGAGCACCGAACCTCCCACATTCCGTCAAGGACGCGATAGCTCGGTTCCTCGAACTGGTATGCAGCTCCCCAACTTCACACGGACCGCGACACCTCGTCAATTTGTCAATGCCCTTCGCCCAATATGCGAGACCATATTTGACCTGATGTTGAATGCTTATACCTTGAGCTTGGAGGCATGGCACACCCGCTCTGCAAAGAAGGGTGCCGAAGAAGGGAGGCCTCGACCAAGTCTGGATAAATGGGGTCGGGCTATCGGATTTGCTCATGAGGCACTAGAATGTTTCAGAAATGCAGAAATAATGCGTCAGACTAGGCCTATTGATGAGGCCAATGCAGTTGTTCAGCAAGCGATGGAATTTCTCAAGCACAGGTATGGTTCTTCAATATCTAGCTACATGGCATAATTTACTGATTATACATAATAATAGCATAAATGAGGTTCCCATCATTCACAAACCAGCACTGATTATGAGTGGTTGGGATGGCACGGAGGTTGAAACTGTATGAGGAGTCCCATTTCTCCACGTGTCTACCGACGGGATATGTGGATTTCTCCGTGCAAGGAAGGATGTTTAAATTATGGTGCGCATTCAATACTCGACTGCTTTGTCTAACTGTGAACGCAAACTTTGCCGCTTCAAGGTCCGCAGTGCTGCATTCCCTGATTTGGGGGGAAATAAGTGTTCTTCATCACAACTTGTCATTCTGGATGATTCTTCCGAGGTGTTTGAAATCTTTGTGAACTATCTTTACAAGTACATTTCCGTTCCTGTATATAGTGTTTACTAGGGCTCCTAGCGGATCGAGATCTGAGGCAAATACGGGTGAAATTTCCCATATTTACTGTAACTCCTACTCTACTGTGGACCTATCGGTAATATAATGAGCTTTCTTTCTCTGTGTCAATCTCAGGTTAAAGTTTAGGAAGGTGTTCAACAACCACATGATGTGCAATAGGACATATATGAAAGCGTTGTGGGTACTTTTGGGTGGCCGAGAGACGACGCGGTCAAGAACTCGAAGACTCGGGGTTGAGGTGCGTCGAGGCCCTGGGTCCCTATGCCACATAGTATTTCGGGGAGCCCGACTCTTCGGTTTGCCTCCAGTTATTTTGTGGAATCATCTCCACATCTCACTGGGGCGATCGACACGTTGGCTTGGAACTGGGCTGGCTGGACACCATACCACGGAGTCAGCTCATCATCGGTGTTTACGCAGCACATTTCTAAATCGATCTCCGCGTTCCCGCTTGGAGAATGTAGCCTAGGCTGCTGGCATTAAGTCCACACCCCTCGAATCCAGAACAGATTCAAAAACCAGATAGTGTGCACTGCCCATTTGCGCCCCCAACTCGATCGGACAGATCGATCGTTCGCACAGGCAGTAATCCCAATGAAAGACAGGACTGAATCAGGATATGCTGAGTAAATGGTGCGCGACCAGACACCAGCGCAAAATGAGTATGTGAGGTCTGCACGGTATTCTACGGTTATCAAAACCAAACCGGCCTTCGATCAGCGCAACGTCATTATTGCTGCAGCAATCAACGGTGGTTCCTGAATTACGAACTACTAGTCAGTTTGGAGAATAGAGTCTAGCCTGCTGGCATGAAGCCCATGCCCCTCAACTCTAGAACGCATCAAAAAAACCATCTAGGATGGCAGCACATTCGCACTGCCAATTCGATACAATAGATCGATGCCAGATTGCCCCCCCACGTTAACAAAGGACAAGGCTAGATTAGGATCTGCTGAATGAATGGTGCGCGACAAGGCACTGGCGCAAAATGAATATGTGAAGTCTGCGCGGTATTCTACGGTTATCGAAATAATATCAGCCTTCGATCAGTGCGCCATTATTGCCTTAGCAAACAGTGGCGGTCCCTAGATCATGAACTACGAGGCGGAGGGCAGCATCCAAACGCGTGTTTGCGAATGCTTTTGCATCGGCCTGCGACTAGGAACCGCCGATTAGCTTATCGCAACCACCAGTTCCCTTGTACGAATAGCTGGGAAATGCTGCAGACACAAAGGCTAGCTGCATGACCTAATCCATGCGGCACAGCTGACTATTTCAACTAGCTGGTATATATAGTGAGCCGATCCCTTGCGCCTTCACCTGGGTTCGAGTTCCTCTTGCAAAATCATCTCCAGTGAGCCGAGCACAACTGAGGATGTCGTTAGAATGGTGACTCACCACAACCAGCAGGAGCCATGGGTAACGCTGGATCCGTCTACATGGCCAACGCTTCTGGTCAGGATATCCAAGTCATAGCATCCCTCAGTCCCGAATGGGTTATTATTGATCTCCTATTCGACGCCGCGTTGCTCGTTGCCGCTTTCACTGGACTCTCGGACATTATCGGCGCTGCGGAACTACCTGAGGCGATAGAAACCGTCGCGGATCTTTTTCAGCTCATCAAAATAGCTGGCGGGCTCCTGAAGGATACTGTCGAGATTGGCCTGCATATTGTGGAGGCAGCACAAACAGTTATCGATGCTGTCATCCAAAACACTGTAACAATTAGTGATGGGAGTTACCAGGACATGCGGGATGAAAGCGTGTGGGAGCAATGTCTGTCTCCTGATGGGATTGCGGGCATATTTGGTGCGAAAACCGTGATGGTCTTGGTCATGAGTCGTGATGGAAAGCGAGTGTCGTTGTGGGAAACGGGACCCGATGATTCCTGGATCGCAACTGCGGAGCACAAGATCGTTCGCTCGGTGAATGGTAGGATTTGGGAGCGTGATCCCGACGCTGGCACAGTTGAATGGCCGGGGCAGGGGGTCCTAATAAAAAAACAAGGGTTGAATTTACTGGATATAATTCCAGCCGCACTTCCCAAGCTTCTGCCATTCCTACTGATATGATCAGATATTTGGTCAGAACGGTGGATGATTAAACTAACCACTGCAAGTAGCATACGGAAAGATATCTGTTTTGGTTGTGTTCCGTGTGTTTCATGGTCACCGTGATCATTTTCACCTCGTGTATACCTTCCTGCTTTGTACAATAGTGCTAACAAGAATCTGTTCTGAAGTATGCTCGCTCTCCTGGCAGCTGATAAGCATCCTAGTACCAATTGAGTTATGCGGGTGAAAGTTGTTTGTTATACCATGAGCGTAGACGATCTATCGTCACGGAGCGCCATAATAATGAGCTCCGTCTCCGTAGTGAGAACCGAATTAATTAGCGCGTCTAACCTATAGTAACGTGCAGGACAGAATGAATGAGGAACCGAACGCAGGATTGGGTGTACAATAGGTTCGAGGGTTCATATTTGCCCCTGCTGCACAATCTTGACGGAAGACATGGCGTGGGTTCGCAGTACAGTGCTTGTAGCGCTTTGTGATCGTTGTATACATTGTGGTGGACTCTGAAGGTTCAAACTCGGGTGCATGAGAGGTAAAGGATGTGAGATGTTATATCGGACAGGACATGGTGGCATGAGAGGCAACGGAAGAGTGAGTGACAAATGTTGTGTCAAACAAATGTTGGTAGCGTGGGAGAGTGGAAAGAAGCAAGTAGGTGTCAGAGGCCAGGTCTGCTTTGGTCCAGGCAGGACGCTGAGGTGCCCTGGCTCTTCAAACAATGGTATTTTTTCACAACAAACAAGCCATTGTGTCGGTGGCGAAAATAAATTCGAGAAGGGGAAGAGCTAAAATCTCGCAGGTGAGCCCAACCGATATAGGCCCTCCATGGAACGCTATGTCCGGTAGTTTACCGCATGATCGCGCAAGTTGGTCTCCAGGAATCCGGCTGAGGTCCCTACGATAGTCTTGGGTGTCCTCCGGAGTCAGCTGCTTTAGACAAAGAGTAATATGAAACTTGATCGGAAGCTTTGCATGAAACTCACTCTCCACCATCTAGATATTCGCGGATCAGAGCCTTGACAGCTCCATCGTCAATTAGACTGAGATCTGGGTGAAGACCCTCTTTAATAAGCAAATCCACGTCATCTT